GACCAGGTTGCCCAGAGAGGTGGTGGATGCCCCATCCCTGGAAACGTTCAAGGTCGGGTTGGACGGGGGGCTCCGAGCGACCCGATCTAGTTGAAGATGTCCCTGCCCGCGGCAGGGGGGTTGGACTAGGTGACCTTCAGAGGTCCCTTCCCACCCAAACCATTCTGTGATTCTCTGATGAAATCAGTCACGTTTTGTGGTGCTTCTCTCCACCCCCCCTCAAGCTCCCTCCCCGGCACGTTCAGGGTGGAGGTCGAGGTGGATTCCCTTTTTTTTTTTTCCCCCGCTTTTCCCAGCGGACGGCGGGGGGGCGGGGGAGACGGAGGAGGACACTTCCCAGGAGGAAGACGGAGAGCTGCGCGGTGGGTCGGCGAGGAAGCCCAAAGGTGGCATCTCCCTGGGCTACGAGCGCCACAAGAACCACTCGGGAAGGAGACCGGCTTCTTCCAGCCACAACGGGAGAAAACCTAACGCCAAGAGCCCCTCAAGGATACGGCTGGGGCAGCGCAAGCACGCCTGCGGCAAGTGTGGGAAAAGCTTCAGCCGTGGTTCGTCCCTCAACCGGCACCAGCGGGTCCATCTGGGGGAGAAGCCCTTCACCTGCTCCAACTGCAGGAGAAGTTTCGCCTGCAGCTCCACCCTCAGGGACCATCAGAAGACCCACTGCCAGGAGAAACCCTACGAATGCCCCAGCTGCGAGAAACGCTTCGCTTCCACCAAGTCTCTCAAAAAACATCGCAAGCTCCACCTGGAGAACGGGGCGTACCGGTGCTCCGACTGCGGGAAAAACCTCACTTCCAACTCGGCTCTTATCATCCACCGGAGGATACACACCGGGGAGAGACCCTACCAGTGCCCCGACTGCGGGAAGAGCTTCATGGCCAACAAGTCCCTCAACAAGCACCGCAAGAGCCACACGGAAGGCGCGATCTTCGTCTGTCCGGACTGCGGGAAAAAACTCACTTCCAAGTCCACCCTCATCATCCACCGTCGCATACACACGGGGGAGAGACCCTACGAGTGCCCCGACTGCGGGAAAAGCTTCATGGCCAACAAATCGCTCAGCAAGCATCGCAAGACTCATATGGAGGAGGGGACCTATAAGTGTCCCGAGTGCGGGGAAACCTTCCCAAAAAACTCAGCCTTCGTAGCCCATCTCAGGACCCACAGGGGCCAGCCCCCGTATCCGTGCTCCGACTGCGGGGAAGCCTTCTTCGAAAGCTCGTCTTTTAAGCGACACCGGAAAAAGCACTTGGTAGAGAAACCCTACCAGTGCTCCGACTGCGGGGTCGGCTTCACCGTCCACTCCGCCCTCCTCCTCCACCAGAAGAGCCACGTAGGACCCAGGCCCTACGTCTGCTCCGACTGCGGGAAAGCTTTTCGGGAGAGCACCACCCTCCGTAGGCACCAGCGTATCCATACGGGTGAGAAACCCTACCGGTGCTCTTACTGCGAGAAGAGCTTTCGGGCCAGCTCCACCCTCATCATCCACCGAAGGATCCACACCGGGGAGAAACCTTATAAATGCACCAAATGCACCAAGTGCTTCATGTCCAGCTCTTCCCTCATGAAGCATCTGCGGACGCATCTCCGCAAGGAGCTGCTGGTGGGCCCCAGTCAGTGACTTTGTTTGGCCCAACCCCTTCAAGGCGCCTTTGGGTGCCCACCTCAGCGATGGATGGATGGATGGATGGATGGATCCCCCCTCCCACGCCCCATCCAGCCCAGCAAGGCGTTTCAGCGGGATTTTTCACCCTTCCTCCGAACACGCTTAACGGCAGAGGACGTGCTCAGGACCAGCGGTGGGTCGCGGCGCGGTGCCGGGGGACAGCCGTGGCTGCTCAGTCCCCAACCCCTGGGGTGGCTGCCGGGATGCTGATGCCCCCATGGGACGGGGGGCTGTGGGGTTTGGGGACCGCCCAGCTTGGCTCGTGCGTTGGGAACCCGCTGGAGGAGAACATCTAGGTCCTCCTTTAGAGGCTAAAAAAGCCCCTTTTTAGCTTCCCACCTTCAAAAACATTTAAGTATTTTAAGAGAAGGCCCATCCTGAAGCCGAGGGGGCTCCGTCCCCCCCCGAGGTTCGGCCCCTTCGGATCATCTGCTTTTATCGGATACAGCGTTTTCCAAACACGCGTTTCCTTCCCCGATTTCCCCCTCCTGCTCGCTGTCTCCCGTCTGATTTTTATGCTGCCGCCTTCAAAATACACCACGGTGAATTTGGCTCGGCTGTGACAGCTTCTTTGTGGTACCCGCTTTAAAATGAGGTGCAATAAAGTGGAACTGGGTTTCCGGGAGTCGGGGGGATCGTGATTTGATTGGGAAAGCCGGGGGGAGAGATGGGGGACCCCCATGGCTCCTCCGTCCCCCCCGTCTCCGGCTGGTCCTGGCGCTGTCCTGAGCAGGTACGATGCTCTCAGCCGGCAGAAAGCCGAGCTGCATCCGAGGTTGAGCCTGTGCACAGGGTACGCGGGGACGTGCCTGGGGACCGTGGTCCTGGGGAGCCACCTGCCCCCCAGCCAGAAGCTGGAGAACCCGGTGGAGCTGGGGCTGGAGAGCCGGAGCCGAGGGCCGGGCGCCCCCCCGAGGGCGGAGCTGGGGGGGACGTGCCTGCGGGTGGGGTGGCCTTGGGGGTGTTCCCGCGGGGGGGCGAGAGCCGGGGCCCCCCCCCCCGATGGCAGAGCTGGAGGGGACGTGCCTGTGGGTGGGGTGGCCTTGGGGGTGTTCCCGCGGGTGGGGTGGCCTTGGGGGTGTTCCCGCACCCGGGGAGGGCTGCGATGAGTCTGAATTCCTGCGGCTCCTCCCAGCATCAAGGGCGTGTTGGAATTGTGGGATGGATGGCGGGGACAGGTTCTGGGATGTGCCCCCAGCCCCCGCTGGCTCCTGCACCGCTGTGGGGTGGCCCAGCCCCCCGGCGC